GGGGTTTTCTAGCGACGTGCGCGGCCGCGCAGCCGCGCACCTTAGAGGGAACAGTGCTTGGAGGACTTTAAAAGACCTCTGGCAATTAACAGAAGCAACACTGAACCAGATGGATCAACAGTCTGATTCAGAATTAAATAGCTTCATACATTTATAAATTGGATACAAAAATACGAATGACAAAAGTCAGGAAATTGGCATTATTTCCAGAAACAAAGAATGTAGGAAGAGCTGTGTTGAATCAGGCCTGTGGCCCATCTACATTTTGCTTGTTAATCCAGGCAGTGCTTTCAGAGAAACCACAAGCTAGGCTTGAGTTGATCATGGGGAGAATAAGACCACACAACTTGCCTATAAGGAAAATCGAATCCTGGGATTGAATAAATACCCAAACTAGTGAATACATCACATCTGGAGGATCGGTTGTGGGAAATGCATACAGTATGTGTGTCAATAAGAACAGCAGAGATGCTCACCATAAGTCTGCAATTAGGCTATTAAATGTGATAAGAATACAATTATGTTTAGCTGAATGCAGAAAAAAGGAGCATGCAAATCGAAGGAGGAATTTGACATCACAAACCTTTTTCTCATTTCTTCCAGCTTCTGAGGTGGAACTACCAGCATTCCAGCATTATCTCTATTGTCAAAGGACTGAAGGGTTTCCAAATGTTGTTGAAAACTTTCCATCAAATTCTAAAAACAGAAGCACTATTCACAAATGTCTTACAATTAAAACATCATTTATTCATCTATATGTGCATTTAATTTTCTAGCAATAGGACAGAACAGCAATTATAGGTTAATAAATTTCTCAAAGAAAAGTATCATTGAATAATTATGGAATAGTTTATAAAAATGGTTATAAAGACAGTTCCTGAAATATTGCATCTTTCTTTACTTAAAGAGCGGACAGTATTGTTACTATACAATATTACATGGCTGAATATTGCATTGTTTTTTTTATTTTACCTTGTTTTATATTATAAAACTGCACCCCAGAATATACTGTATTATCAGCTGCTGTAATTCCTGGGCATCTGCCAAAACCACGAAAACTCAGCAGAGCCCACTGATGATGCCTGGTGAATATGCCTGGGTTTGTATTTGCCCAAAGAGATCATATTCAGAGCAATGTTAGAGTTGGTTGTCCTTTACATTTTCTACTCAATAGCACTAAAAGGCTGAATGAAGTCATTGTTTAAATGTCTTACAAAGCCTGATCCAACATAAAGAATGTGGGAAATGTCAAGAGTTTTGGCTTATCTCAATATGTGACTTCAACTTATCATTTGAAAAGCAATTCCAAATCTATCAATGTTGTGCAATGCATCCTAAACTTGTATATACTACAGTAGAAGACAAACGTTACCCACATTTAGCTGATTTGTCTTATTCATTTATTAAATTTATATTCCACTCATCTCATTCTTTGGGGCAAATGTGGGCAGCTTACAAGAATGGTTTGTGTAAGTTGGATTTACTTGATTGTTTAGATTCTTGTTCTATTATATAGTGAACCAAACGTAAACTTGTGGTCCTTTTTTCATCAATATTGTTCACAGTGCCCCAAATAATAGGGAAAAGGCAATTCTGATTGTATTACAGGGCTACAAACAACAGTAAATACCATGATGCTTGCTTTAAGCAATGCAGGTATACACAAGGATGATGTATTTTACTAACACATATTAGAAAAGGAATTTTGCTGGTGGGGCCCAGAAGATGTTCTGACCTAGGCCTCATGAAGCAGACTCCTTGTCCTGGTAAAACCTTTCTATATAGGTTAAAGGGAATTCCACTCCAGCAAAGTCCCGGAAAACTGTCTTTCATGAGTTTTCACAACTACAGATTTTTATCAGGTTTGGAGAGTTGCCAGGCCAATATCTTCCAAATGCCACACTGTAGCAGCAATTACTTGGCAAGAAGTCAGGAACAGATCTTCACCCTAATGAATTGAANAATGGTGTATGAATTATTTGTGTTGTTATTACAAGTGTTGCTGTGACCCCCTAGGAAAAGGTTATGCCCCGCCCTGTATTTTGCTGTTGTTTTTCATGAATTCGGCTTTGGTGTATTTCCATATAAATACCGATTACTTAATAACATTTTCAAATTGCTACCATACAGAAAGCACCACACAGAAAGTGAGTTCTTAACACAAGGATTTAATGAGTGGAAGATGCTAATAGGTACAGATATAATAATTATAGCTTTTTGAACTAACATTAAGAGTATAGAATTCATTTTGTGCCTTCAAGTCAGTTTAGATTCTTCTGACTGCCCCCTGCAGTTTTCTTAACATTTTTTCAGAAGTAGGGTTCCATTGCTATCTTCTTAGGGCTGAGAGAAGTGACTGGCCCAAGATCACCAATTGACCTTAGAGTTAAGGCAGGACTGCTATTCACAGTCTCCAGGTTTCTAATTTCCTGCTTTAACTACTATACCACTGACATAGGTATGAAACAAAAACAAGTCTATAAAGCAAAATGGCTTTATGCAATTATAATATATATTATGCATTTGTAACTTCATGTACTGCTTATTTTATAAGTGCCCATATCATTTAATCAAGGTTTTATAACTTTGTAACCATTAATTCAATAAATGTATTTGAGTCACTGTAGCTTAGACAAAATACAACAGATTACAATTTATAATATATTTATTTAAATAAGATTGTGTGGAGTAAAGAATCCTGTGCATTATAATTATATTCATAACTAGTAGGCAATTTTTTGACTATCAGAATCCGAATAAATGGAAGATACTATATACTGTATGACATAATTCAAATATGCAACTATATTAAATAGTAATTTAAGACTATAGTACAATTCAACCAACTTCAAATATTTTACATTAGCTGTCCCTTTTTTATCAGAGCTTGGAGTTCTTATGTGTATGTTTCCTTTTAGAAGTCAAAGAAGGCAATTTCATGATGATGACTGAGATGATTGAGCCTGTTTCTTCCTTTCTATCACCTTGTGCAAAACTTCCAAGATTGTGTTTGCATTATTCTGAACATTATAGTTGGTTAGATTTAACAGCTTGTTAAACTCCTCCTCCTGCAGTGAGACCTGTCTTGTAGAATACGGGGAAAAGGCACTTGAGACATCAACATTGCCTTGTGGTAATTGAGCTGCATTACGTTCTATGCCTGCAGAAGAAAAAAAGAAGATATACTAATTATGTATAAAAATATAACATGGGACTGAAGATTATCTTGTATCATGCTATTTAATTGACCAAACTAAAGCCAATCAGAAACCCACCAGAGGACATCTATCTGTCTGTCTGTCTGTCTGTCTGTCTATCTATCTATCTATCTATCTATCTATCTATCTATCTATCTATCTATCTATCTATCTATCATCTATCTATCATCTATCTCTATATTAAAAGGGATGTATGTATGCATGCATGCATGTATGTATGTATATATGTATGTTTGTTTGTTCCAGCATAACTCTGGAACGCCTTGAGCAATTTCAACCAAACTTGGTACACAGATGACTTACATTCTGGAGACAAACATGGTAAACATGTGGGTGGTAAGACACCCCTGGTGTGTGGGTGTTCCAGCATAACTCTGGAAACCAGGGCCTTTAAGGATAGTGAGTGCTGTGTCCTAGAGCAGCAATTGTTCGTGATGTCATGGGAGGGGCAAAGGAGCCTGATTAGGCCAGTACAGAGGCCTTTGATTGAGTATGCCATGGCCTAATCAGAACGCCCACCCCCACCTGACTGCGGTGGCCCAATCTCACAGGAAACAGCTTTGCCTGTGTTCCCAGGTCATCCTTCGTCCCAACTCAGGCTTAAGCTTCACTCACACAGTAGGTCTATGAAGCAAAGGGAGCCTGATTAGGCCAGTACAGAGGCCTTTGATTGACCATGCTCCTTCACACAGTGGGCCTTTAAGACTTAGACCTCCCTCACACAGTAGGCCTATGAAGTGCCAGGATCGTAGACAGGGCAGGAAAGAGGAGCGCATGGGAGGGGGAAGGGAGAGGGCAGGGATGATGGGCATGGGAGCAGGATGACGAAAGTCCCCTCTCAATGGCTCCAAGTCAGACAAACACTTCAAGGCAAAATGCCAGAATCGTAGACTGGGCAGGAAAGAGGAGCGCATGGCAGGGGGAAGAGGAAGTTGGGGGAAGAAAGGCCCCTCTCAAAGGCTCCTTGTCAGACAAATGCTTCGACCCGAGCAATGCCGGGTCATCAGCTAATAGCATAATATAATGCCCTTACATTCCTATTCTCTTTAAAAAAGAAGTATTAATGACAAATTTTTCATATATTGATCTAATCACTTTTTAAAACTATTCAGTTTAATAGTCATTACTAGAGTCTGTTTCAACATCACTCAAAGCACTATTTGTTTAATAATGTTTACACTGCAATTAGGATGTATAGTTCACAATAACTAGTTTCATACAATGTATTAAATGAAATCATACTGTGGTATTGTGTAATGTATGTATGAATGCAGGTTTATATACTGAAGCAGAAAATTGTACAGGTTAATGTTGTCCTTTCATATATTCTGAATTTCCACCATTCAGCTTAATTGGATGAGCCAGATTCTAGTGTTCCAAAGATGAAAATGATTTTACTTGCTTTCTCCATACAATACATAATTTTATATAATTTTCTTTCTTGTTTTATTCTTTTTTCTGACTAAAAGAATTCAATTGTGATAACTTTTCCTGTCACATGAGCTCTTTCAGTTCTTTGATCAATGAGTTTGTCCTGGATCAGGCAGCATCTAAACTTGTTTAAGATCAAACACCTACTACAATTGTATTGTACTATTAACTCACCAGGTGCAATATATCTTTGGAAGGTGTCATTCACTAATGGGAAGTAAAGCAGGATGGGGGCCTCAGGATTGTTTGTATCTTCAAAGACGTAGCATTCTTTTAGATTTTTCTTTTCTTCATCATTTAGCAAAATCTTAGGAAATGGGATTCCTTGTGCTGAGAAATATGTAGAGGCATGTTCCAGAGGCTTAAATAGTAACAGCCAATGTTAGCAAATGCAAAAAGCCATCCAAACAGGATTTTTAATGGAGACATTGATTTGAAACCATAATGTAATAAACATAAAATACAATGGTAATTCTTAGAATGAAAACAGTCTTTAAAATCCCCAATTTATTTCTTTATGCTAGCTAATACTAGTTACTAATAATTGGTTGTTATCAGATCTGAAATTCAAGTTAGCCAGATTCTGAAATTCAACAATATTAGGAATGTTTTCCAGGCCTGCACGGGAATCCTAATATTTTAGAGAAACAGGAACATTTTAAATAGTCTAGATCAGTGTTTCTCAACCTTGGCGACTTTCAGTCCTTTGGACTTCAACTCCCAGAAGCAACTGCCTGGGGAATTCTGGGAGTTGAAGTCCACAGGACTGAAAGTCACCAAGGTTGAGAAACACTGGTCTAGATGGAAATTGGCTGAAAATAACAGGATCAAAGCTAATAGCAATTTACAGAAGTACAAGTATAGATTGGGGAATATCTGACTTGGGAAAAGAATCTGTGAAACAGATTTCAATTGATTGCAACTGGTTTCTGGCACTGTATCTGGTTCTCGGCATTGCAGGTTTAGGACATTTCAGAAAAACTGAAATAGAAACAAAGAATGGCAACAAGGAGGATTTTGGAGGACTGAAAACTAAAATTTACAAGA